TCTAGTCCTGTAGATCATCCATTTTTAAAAAAAGACTCTGATACAGAAAGAAGTCAAGTGGATTTTCCCAACATAACTTTGCACTAAGTGAAGAAAAGCAATGACTTTGTAGTCTTTTTAAACATGTCTGATGTAATTTACAGAATCTTTCTTGAATTCATTTAAGTATAATTGAGTTTTCTCCTGGAGAAAGCTGGTCTGGATGGCACCATTTTTTCTGCATCAACTCTGTGAAGTACAGTGTTTGTTTGTTTTGGAGGCAGAATCTTGTTCTGTTGCCCAGGCTGGAATGCAGTGGGGTAATCTTGGCTCACTGCACCCTCCACCTCCTGGGTTCAAGCAATCCTCCTGCCTCAGCCTCCCCATTAGCTGGGACTACAGGTGTACCCCATCATGCCCAGCTAATTTTTGTATTTTTAGTAGAAATGAGGTTTTGCCATGTTGGCCAAGCTGGTCTCAAACTCCTGACCTCAGGTCATCCACCCACCTTGGCTTCCCAAAGTGCTATGATTACAGGCGTGAAATACAGTTCTGAATTCTGAATATCTGCTAATCTCCAGTTGATAGGTATACAGCTTCTGCTTGATGGTGATTCAAAGTCTTTGGATAAAAATATGCCATTTATATTTAGAATATATGTTAGCTACAGTGTTTGCTGTAGCCACTTTTAACAGTGCACCACACATAGTGGCTTAAACAGTAGAAACTTTTTGTCTCACAGTTCTAAAGGCTGAAAGTTTAAGATCAAGGTATCAGCATGATTAAACATCTGCCCTAGTCTTCTTGTTTTTCTTTTATGACATTGGAATATGCCATATTTGAAAAATGCGTTTTAGAAAAGCTAACGGAATCTAAATACAGTTTGGAGTTTAGTGACTATTAATGTATTAATATTGATTCATTAGTTATGACAAGTGTATTATAATGTAAGAGTTAATAATAGAGGAATTACAAATGAAATTACAAATTATGTTACAAACCAATAGTAATCAAAACAGTGTGGTACTGGCATAAAAACAGTCATCTAGACTGTTGGAACAGAATAGAAAGCCTATAAATGAAGCCATGCATAAATGGTCAGCTGATCCTCAACAAGGGTGCCAAGAATGCACGATGGGGAAAGGACAGTGTCTTCAATAAATGGTGATAGGAGAACTGTTACTTACATGGAGAAGAATGAAAGTGGATCCTTATCTCACACCATACACAAAAATCAACTCAAAATGGACTAACAATTTAAATGAGAGACTGGGAGAAAACATAGGGAAAATGCTCTTTGATATTGGTCTGGGCAATGATTTTTTGGATATGATACGAAAAGCACAGGCAACAAAAGAAAAAAATGAACAAGTGGGACTACATCCAACTGAAAAGTTCCTGCATGCAAAAGAAACAATCAGCAAAATGTAAAGGCAGCCTATGGAATGGGAGAAGACATTTGCAAACCATACATTTGATAAGGGGTTAACATTTCAATATATATAAGGAACTCAGACAACTCATTTGCAAAAACAAAAACGACCTAATTAAAAAATGGAGAAAAAGGAGCTGACATTTTTTTAAAGAAGACATAAGAATGTCCAACAGGTATATGAGCATCATTGTTCAACAAGGAAATGCAAACCAAAACCACAGTGGGATATCACCTCACACCTATTATAATGGCTGCTGTCAAAAAGATAAAAGTGTCAGTGGGAGTGTGGAAAAAGGAACCCTCATACCCTGTTGGTAGGAAGGTAAATTGGCACAGCGGCTATGGAAAATAGTATGCAGATTTCCCAAGAAACTAAAAGTAGAATTACCATTTCATCCAGCAATCCCACTTCTGGGTATGAGTCCCGGAAGAAATGAAATCCGACTCTCTGAGAGCTACTTGTATTGCCATGTTCATTGCAGTATCATTCACAGTAGCTGAGATGTGGAAACAACGTTGCCTGTAGACAAGTGAATGGATAGACAAAGGTGTGTGTATGCAATGGCATATTATTCAGCTTTAGAGAAGGTGGATGGACTTGGAGGACATTCGCTAAGTGAAATAAGCCAGACACAGAAAGACAAATACTGCATGATCTCTGTTATATGTAGAATTTTCAAAAGTCAAACTCATGGCAACAGAGAGTAGATGTGTAGTTAACCAGGGGCAGGGGTAGGGGAAATGGGAAAATGTTGGTCAAAGGGTACAAACTTTCAGTGATAAGAAAAACACTATCTGATGGACAGGGTGGTGAGTATGGTCAATAATTATTCTAAACTTGAAATTGGCTGAGAGTATATCTCAAGTATTCTCACCACACATGCAAAAAAGGTAACTAGTGAGTTGATGGATATGTTAATTAGCCTGATTGTGGTAACCATTTCACAAGGTGTATGTGTATCAAAACATGTTGTACACCTTAAATATATGCAGTTTTTATTTGTGCATCATACCTCAATAAGGCTGGAAAAAAAACAGAGGAAACTGGGTGGCAGAGGTCTGTGGGAACTCTTTGTATTATATTTGGAAGTTTTCTTTATATTTAAAACTATTCTAAAGTAAAGTTTTTCAAATATAAACATCCTTTTAGGTTATAAAATAGTGTCTACATTAAACATTCCATGAATGCGGTACTTATAATTATTAAATAACTGTATTGTTTTTAATGCCATTGTTTAAACATGTTTTTGTACTCAAGAACAAATTAGATATGGCCTCTAGAGGACAGTGCTGGGTCATAGAAAGATTTTACAATTTCTGCCCAAGTTGAAGACAGTCACAATCATTTTTCTCCTTATTTTCTAACCACAAAGACTGTTTACTCATTATCCCTCTTAAAAAACAACAACAACAAAGAACACTTGTGACTCATCTGCTGTTCTGACTGCTTGGCTGTTTTAACTTTTTTGTGTGTAATTTTGGCTCCACAAGGATCTATTAGGCAAGAAGGATGCTTACGTCCCTCAGGGTTTGTGCAAGTTGGACCCTGGGGAAGCGATATGAGGCATATATTATGTGTCATTGGTGAGTTCTTCCATGATGGAGACAGAATTATAGAGCTGACTTCCTTTGGAAAAACATACAGTTTGTGGCTTGATGAGGGTGCATATAAGATGAAGAGCGTTCTGGTCTTTTAAAGGTTGAGGTTGCCTGTTCAGGGGCTCGGTGGCGGTGGGAGGAAAGGGAAGAGACCATTGCTCTCGCTTCTGGAGCAAATTTCTGGAGTAGTCAGAATAGCAACTCAACATTTTAATTTTAAAACTCCTCCGGAGATAACCTCGTGAGATGGACATTTTATTTGTCCAAGGCTGCCGAGGTAGGGAGTTGCAGAGTGCTACTCAAGCGCAGCAGAGCCATAGGAATGTTCATTTGCAAAATGCTCGCCTTCGACCCAGAAGCAGCTGAAGACAATTGTTCATGAATCGATGGGCTCAGCAATTCTGAAACACACAATTCTGTCATTGAATTTTCTGCTGACAGTGGAGTCTGAGGGTTCCACCATGCTAGGTGTCAGCCTAGTATAAATATTAAAAAACAGTACTCATTTGGCTGACGATGTGTTCTACTTAGCAGCAACCTACAGGTTTTTTTTTTTTTTCTTTTTTGCTCCAGGAATAAATCTGTCCAAAACTCATCTGCTGAATTGGGATCTATGAGCCTTTTAATAAGATTTTTGAAAGGGAATGGAAAATTTACAGCTCCATATAGATAGCCTGACGTGAAAGTTAAGGTCAGTGGTGTTTTGTTCAGCCACTCCATCCAAGCCGAACCCACGGGTGGGGATCTGTTTCGTTCTCATTTAACAGTGCTAAGTTCCAAACATTCTCTTAGGTATAGTCTTCTAATCTAGGGCTGGTATGACAAAGTTCTGTTTACCGTGTAGGTACTTAATACATATTATGATGATTTAACATGTAGTTGGTCCTTGAGATGGTGGCGTGTGCTCTAACCTGGTCCCTCATTCAGGGTTTCTTGTCTCAGGGAAAAGCACCACCTTATCCCAGTGGTGTCAGTCAGAATCTTGGGAGTCATCCTTGAATCCTCTGTGTCTTCCGTCATTACTCATAATGAATGCAAGACCAGGTCCTATCAATTCTGCTTCTTAAATATTTCTTGAAGCCATCCATTTCTCTCTCCATGGCCACCACTCCAATCTAAGCCCTTGTCATGCCTGCTTAGACTACTGAAAAAGCAGCCTTACCCTCAACCAGTGTGCTCTTTCAAAACATGCATCTGTGAGACCGTCAGCCTTATCTCTGTCGTGGACAAGGAGGCCCTGCAGTCTGGTCTCTGTCTCTCCCTAGCCTCATCTCGAAGCCTTCTCCTTGCTCCTTGTTCTCCAGCGTCCTAGCCTCCAATGGTCAGCACAGAGTCTCAGTGCATGCAGTTTCCTCTTTGTGGGAGTCTTTCCTGCTGTCTTGGTCTCATTACCTTCTACTCATCCTTTCTAAATCAGCTGGAGTGTTGTTTCCTCATGGATGACTTCCCTGGTCTCCTGGTCTAAGAAGTGCTCTCTATTTATTTATTTTGACATGGAGTCTCACTCTGTCGCCCAGGCGTCAGTACAGTGGTGTGATCTCGGCTCACTGCAACCCCATCTCCCAGGTTCAAGTGATTCTCCTGCCTCAGCCTCCTGTGTAGCTGGGACTACAGGTGTGCGCCACTACGCCCAGCTAATTTTTGTATTTTTAGTAGAGATGGGGGTTTCACCATGTTGGTCAGGCTGGTCTTGAACTCCTGACCTCAAGTGATCCTCCTGTCTTGGCCTCCCAAAGCGCTGGGGTTACAGGTGTGAGCCACCGCGCCCGCCGAGGGTTCTTTATTGAGTGTTCTTACAGCCCCGTGCTCCTTCCCTTCATGGTGCTTACATCAGTTCACAGTGTCTTCCTGTTGCTGTTTCTTGATTAATGCATGTCTCCCTTATGAGAGTATCAACTGTACAGGTTCAAGATGAATGATGAAGATAAATCGTAATAAAATATATTTGTTGGATGAATAAATGGCTATTTACTTATTGAATGTTTAGCTAGAGGAAGAAGAACCCACTGGATACATTCGATTTGAAAAATTTCTTCCGGTGATGACAGAAATACTACTAGAAAGAAGGTAAGTAAGTAAATGCAATTGTTAAGGCAAAGTAATGCTCAGAATTCATTCAGGACGCTTGGCTCTTTCACTTTGTATATTATGCTCAACCAATGTCTCCTAAGGTGGCCTCCTTCTAACCTTTCTAGATACTTCTGAACTACCAGTCGGTACATGCTTAGAAATATCAACCACATTCGTGTTAACCTTAGCGAAGCATAATTAGGGGGCAAAGAAGCTACAAAGATCATAAGTCAACATTCTTCTGTTTTGAATTATCAATGATAAATAAGAATCCTCATATTTTTCTGGCACAAATATAGCATTAGCTTACCAGAGTTGGTTCATCATAGAAGTCTTGTGCCCACATAAATTGATTTCCAAAAAGCTAATAGATAACCGCAAACATGTCGGTGATTTTGCCCTAAATATTTCCTGTGAGGCTGAGGTATTTTCCACTTTCACATCCAGAAATACGACACGATTTCAGTGAGGCAAGCGTTACCATCCCAGTGTGTTAGCAGCTTTTACTTTTTTGTTTATATTTTTTGAGATGGAGTTTTGCTCTTGTCACCAAGGCTGGAGTGCCGCCACGCCATCTCAGCTCACTGCAACCTCTGTCTCCCGGGTTCAAGCCATTCTCCTGCCTAAGCCATTCTCCCGCCTCAGCCTCCCAAGTAGCTGGCATTACAGGTGCCCACCACCACACCCGGCTAATCTTTGTATTTTTAGTAGGGACGGGGTTTCACTGTGTTGGCCAGGCTGGTCTTGAACTGCTGAGCTCAGGTGATCCGCCTGCCTCAGCCTCCCAAAGTGCTGGAATTACAGGTGTGAGCCACCACGCCTGGCCCTAGTTTGTTTTATGTGGTCATTTAATCATTCCAGTGGTCCCCAACTACCAGGCCGTGGACTGGTACCAGTCCCTGGCCTGTTGGGAGCCGTAGACCGCACAGCAGGAGGTAACCAGCAAGAGAGTGAGCACTGCCACCTGAGCTCCGCCTCCTGTCAGAGCAGTGTTGGTGTCAGAGTCTCATTGGAGCACAAACCCTATTGTGAACTGCACGTGGGAGGGATCTAGGTTGTGTTCCTTGTGAGAATCTAATGCCTGATGATCTGAGGTGGAACCGTTTCATCCCCAAACCATTCCCCCACCCCAGTCTGTGGAAAAATTTCCTTCCATGAAACCAGTCACCACTGCCAAAAAGGTTGGAGACTGCTGATTTATTATGCAGAGACTATGGTAAATACCATGGCACTGACTCAACTTATTGCATAATTATAGATACAGACCAATTCCAGAAGATGTCCTTCTTCGAGCTTTTGAGGTATGTAAACTCCAGCTTATATACATATACATGTGTGTAAATACCGATTTTTATATACACACATGTTTATGCTTATTTATATGAAAAATTCATCATGTAGAACTTGCCAAATGAAAAAATATAATATCTATTTTTTCTTTTCCCCTAGGTTTTAGATACAGCTAAACGTGGGTTTCTTACTAAGGACGAACTGATCAAGTATATGACTGAGGAAGGTAAGCATGATTTAGTGCTTACAGCAGTGACCTACCTGAGGAATTAATAATTTGTTAACAGTCATGTGAAAGTTATGGGGAGACTTTAGAATCAGTCATTCTGGTGGAAAGTTATCTACTGTTCCTACTGTTTTGGTTTGGGGGTGGTTTCTGTTCTGTGGGGGTTAAGAGGAGCAGGGTGAGGAGAGCTGTGTTGTTGTCTCATAGGATTTTGTAAAGTATAATGATTACTTCTGTAATTGCAGTCATTCTGAATGGAATTTTCAGAATAAAAGATATGCCATCTGGAAAACATGCACTATCAATCACTGTAAATGAAGGCCTCTTCCTGGATTGAAGATCTGAATAGGAGTCTATACAAATTTCCTTCTTTTTTTGTTTTTTTGGAGACAGAGTCTCACTCTGTCACCCAGGCTGGAGTGCAGTCTCAGCTCACTGCAACCTCTGCTTCCTGGGTTCAAGTGATTCTCCTCCCTCAGCCTCTTGAGTAGCTGGGATTACATGTGTGGGCCACCATGCCCAGCTAATTTTTGTATTTTTAGTAGAGATGGCCAGGCTGGTCTCAAACTCCTGACGTCAGGTGATCCACCCATCTTGGCCTCCCACAGTGCTGAAGGAATTTAAAAATTCCTTTTTAAAAAGCTTTTCTGTTGGTGAAGTTATAGATAATATAGCCTCAATTTAATGAGGTCATTTTTAACACTAAACATTTTCTGTTTTAATGTTAATGGAACCATATATATTTGCTTTGAACATGGCCCTTCATACACATGCATATACACACATAATACCTGCACACTTATATATGCCAACACGTTTCCTTGGGAATTCTCTCTGCTAGGCTGATGTATACGTTTGTTTTCCCTGAAGGTCGTCTCCTGAAACCATCCTCATACTGGTCACCTTGCCTTCTCCCGTATAGAGCTAGAGCTCTCTGGTTCACAGACTGGGTCCTGAATGACTCAGAGTTGCTAATCACTTGAGACAGAATCAAAAGTGCAAGTAATCTGGAGCAGGGAAAGCTAAGACTGCATCTACGTGCACAACTGGTCTGACCATTCCAGCTTGATCCACCATTGGGGGGAATACAGGGAGTGAGAGAAAGAATGACACCACATCATAGCTGCCACCCAAGAACTCTTACGCCATTGTCAAAATGATCTGAGGGATTAATTTTGATGGGGATGTTATGACTTTCAAAGCATCAGCTTCTTAATCCTAAGGATTAGTTTAACGAAAGTAAATCCTGGGTTACATATTAGGCAACATGAATTTAGTCAAAATGGCCAAAACAGTTCGATGTTCCTACCGTCGTGTGCCTACTATGTGTTTCGTATTCAGTAAGTGTAGGAAGGTATAATGACACTGAAATCGACTCCCTCTTGCAAGGATATTACAATCTTATTGGGGAAATAAAAGTAACATAAAATAGTGACAATGGAAGACGATAGAAAAATAAATATCTGAAGATCAACCAGGGCCAGACCAGCCTGGAAAGCTTGGTCTGGAAGACTTAAAGAGAAAATAGGTTTTTTGAGATGGTAGAGTGTATATGGTTAAGTTGTTGAGGGCAGAGGTAGACTCTTGTGCATTATAATTCTCTCACGTACAGTAGAGGGAGACGTTGTAGGTGTGTAAAACAGTCTGAACACAAATTGAGAGGTAGGAATGAACATGCTATTTCAGAGAGAAAATAAGCCTTGCTGGCCCCGAGGGTGATGCTGGCAAACAGCAAGAAATTAACTTCAGTAGATTGACTGGGACTAAATTGTGGAGTCCCTGGGTCAGAAGTTTGGAATTCATCCTGTGGGCAATGGAGAAGTATTATAGGCTTTTGAGCAGATGAGTCACATGGTGTGTGAGTGATCATGAGAAGGTTTTTCTGGTGCTGGTCGGTTTGTTAGATGTGTGAGAAAGAGGTTGGACCAGGGAGACCAGTTAGAAGATTATTTCAGCATTCTGAAGGCACCCAAATAAGGGCCTAACCTGGCAATGGCAATGGGAATGGAAAGAAGGGATTGATACAGGAGTGTCTGGGGCAGAATCCATGGGTCATGATGACAGAGCGTAGGAGACAAAGATGAGAGCTGAATCAAAAGTAACATCAAGGCTTTGCCCTTGAGCACAAGAGTTACGGTAATGCTCCTGACTGAAACAGCAAAGTCAGAACAGACTGCAGTGTACAGAGACGGTGCGCTCGTGTGGTTTACCCGGAGGAGCTGTGTGATAATTGCCAAGATGGTATGTTTACAGGGAGTTCATGGTACTTAAAGATCAACTATTGAGTCTTTCAGTGGGCTAAGCATAGGACAGGTATTTTCAAATAAGAATATATATGATTTCAATGATTCATTCAACAAGTATTGTTACAAATCTTCCACATATATGAGCCAGTATGTTTGGAAGTAATATATAAGATGTAAATACTATACAAATCTACGTTATGATTTAATGTAACAGACCCATCAGCTAAGTGTAATAGCAGTTGACTAGTTTGGTAAACTAGTAGCTTAAGAATTGTTGCTTTGAGAGTCTCAGAATTCTACAGATTGTTTTTAAGTACAGTTATGCCATATAACAATATGGATTAAAGTTACTTACACGGTCTTCATAATATCCGCCAAGCATCAAACACTAGTTTGAGAATATACATTCTTACTGCCCAGAATGTCATATGATAAACAAAATAAATCACATGGAATCAAGTTCCTAGGAGATAGAAGTCCATAAGTGTCCAGCAATGTGTATTGCATCATATGGTATTTAGCAGCAGGGAAGATCTCAGAACAATTTTTTTAAAAAACACTTACTTGTTGCTGCTTCGGTGCCAGGTACTGTTCTAAGTACCATTCAAATACTAACACATTGAATTCTCTTGACAACACTGTGTGATGGGTAGAATTATTATCATCCTCATTTTAGAGACAGGTAAACTAAGGGATGGCGCAGTTAACTGACTTGCTCAAGAGCTTAGAGCTAGTAAGAGGCAGCCAGCATTTGAATCCAGACTTGTGCTTTTAACCATTAGATTATTTTCCTTCCATCTTTAATCACATACTGGGGCTCCAAGTTGATCCTTTGGTAATTTCAGAAGTTTTCATCTAAATAAATAACGTTGTTCATGGTGTCTTTGTCTTCCTACTGCCTTGCCTGAAATGATGTGTTCTAAGGTTGCTTGATCTACAACATCTGCAGGCGAGAAGAAGTCCAAAATCTGCCAGGGTATACGCTAGCCTTTGCTGTGAACCTCCCGACTGTCGTGATGTGCTGGCTCTGCAGCTGCAGGGAGAGGAGCAAGTGACTTTGTGGGGGTTTGTGGGGCTCCATGGCTATTAAGCTAGCTAGCGGAAAGAGAAAGAAAAAAAATCAGATGATCATAAATGATACATTTTCCTTTTTGTCTCTCCAAGGTGAGCCTTTTTCTCAAGAGGAAATGGAAGAAATGTTGTCTGCTGCAATTGATCCAGAATCAAATTCAATTAACTACAAGGACTATATATCAATGATGGTGATAGATGAAAATTAAATGTTCTAAAGATAATTTCTAAGTAAAAGGACAATTGTAGAAATTGCTTGTCCTTGTTAATTTCACATCTTCTCTCATGATTCCTATATGTGATATTTAATATCTTGTAACATAACTATTTTAAGATACTTTGTTTTTAAAGATGATCATAACACTTTAAAACAAATTTAGTATGTCTAGCCTTACAGAATGATATGTTATATTTATTTAAAAACAATTCTGTCCGGGCACGGTGGCTCACACCTGTTAATTCCAGCACTTTGGAAGGCTGAGGCGGGCAGATCACAAGGTCAGGAGTTCGAGACCAGCCTGGCCCACATGGTAAACCCTGTCTCTACTTAAAAAATACAAAAATTAGCCAGGCGTGATGGCAAGTGCCTGTAGTCCCAGCTACTCAGGAGGCTGAGGCAGAAGAATCACTCGAACCCAGGAGGCAGAGGTTGCAGTGAGCCGAGATCGTGCCACTGCACTCCAGCCTGGGCAACAGAGCGGGACTCAGTCTCAAAAAAAAAAAAAATTAAAACATTTTAACATTAGAATGGATCGTTGTTTATTTTCTACAATAAAACTCAGGTTACCTTCAAATTAATTAAGCAGACAAAATGAAAGTGATTGTAGTGACCCCAGGTTTGGCATATAAAGATCTAAGAGGGGGCAGAATGACCACCAATTGAAAATGAGTAGCACTATGATGGCTTCTTTTTTAAACAATAACAAACACTTCATCAGTCTGAGTGTGGAAGGAGATTTATCAAAATAAATACTAATAATTGATTTTCTATGAGTGCCAATTACAAATACCATTTGAGATTATAATAACTTAGTGTAAAAATTAAAATTTGCTGATCCAGTGTGACACCATTTATGGAGCAGCTAAAGGAGTTGAGGTCATTGAAACTAGAGGAAAGAAGGCTGAGTGGAAATGAGAATGTAAGGTGGTGGCAATTCTCTCTTTGTCTTTAGAAAGATTGTCACCCGTGCAGTGTACCTGCCGTGGAATGTTGTCCTGAATACTGAGTGAGAGTGCTGAGTACTGCCGCGGTGTCGGGAAGTGCAGCTCCTGAAAGAACAGAAGAAGGTGACCTGTGCTCCTCTGAGTAAAGAGGTCACATGGAGAAGCCTCTTACAAGCAAAGGGGAAGAGAAGGTAAAGGAAAATGAGCAGTTTTCCATAACTTATATATTCTTTTATAACAACACACACACACACACACAGATCTCTATTTAAAGATGGCTTTTTCATTATATGTAAACATTTAACGTTGCTGTGAGCCTTCCTCAGGCATGTAGTCTTGCCCCTAGAAGAGGCAGCTGCTACCCAAGAGATTGTTTATCACTGTTCATTCGTTCTTGAAGCATTGAATGAGTGTCATTAGATAATGTGCTAGGAACCAGAGTCCCTAACTAATCCAGGTCACAGTTTAGTGAGGGAAACCTGCAAGTCAGGCAGCAGCCAATTTCAGATAGGGGCTCCTTCAGAGTACTGTGGAAATGCAGAAGAGAGGCAGCTACTCAGCCGTGCAGGGGGGAGCTTTCTGGGGGATGAGGGGTGCCAGTGTGTAGAGAAGGCTTACAAGGATGGGAAACACGTGACTTTAACACGAGTAGTTCAGTAAGTGGGCGGCAGGGCGTAGGGCGTACCAGCAGGTGAGCAGCAAGTACAAAAACCCTAGGGGTGTCATGAAACATGGAACCCACTGGGAATTGAAAGCAGCTCAGTAGTGTGGAATGTAGGAGATTTGGGGGTCATGATGAGGGTGAAACTGGAGTGGCAAACGGGAGCCGTATCGTTAAGAATATCGGGGTAGGTGTTAAGTTTCAGCGTTAGAATTTGGACTTTATTCTGAAGATCACAGAGAAAGATCATTTGTAAGCGGCATGAAAAATATACTTGATGGGTCACACCTGGAAGTGAGACCAGCTTGTAGGCTATTTGGTTTGTGGGAGGGATAGACTGGGAACAGTCGAGCATGAATCCCAGGTTTCTGGCTCAGACAGACGATGGGTAAAAGTGCCATTCGTTCGGATAAGAAATCTGAGTGGGGCGTCGGTAAGCAAAATGATGAGTTTGGGTGCAGACATCCGGGGACACCCAAAGGGTGACATTCGATAATCAGCTGGATATAGAAGGGAGACCTGGCTGAGACCTGGATTTTGGAACTCTCAGCATGTTAAGTAGTAATTAATCCCTTGAGAGGCAAAGAGAAGCGAGGCTAGAATGAGACCATGGGGAATATCAGCATTTAAAAGAAGGCAGAGGAAGAGGGGCCTGCAAAAGGGACGGGGAAGGGGAAGCTTGGGCAGAGGGGAAGCTGGAAAGAAGCATCGTGGATGCCAAGCTCGAGAGACTCGCAAGGAGGCGGCCGTGGCCATGTCAGCTGCAGTGGAGAGGAGAGGTCAGTTAAAGAGGGAAAAAGCATCCATGGGGGTCCGCAGTGAGGGTTCACTGAGGACCTCTCCCAGAGCAGAGGTTGGGGAGCAGCAGGGTGTAGAGTTGAGTGGGTTGAGGAAGGAATGGCTGTGAGAAGGCCAGAGGACAAGTTACTCCGCAGTGAAGAGAAGGAAACAGACAGCAGCTGAGCGAGCGATTTTGGAAGATAGGAGGGTGTGGGCACGTTCACTCACAGTCCAAGAGCTGAGAGCCCCAGGGAGGGAGAAGACACGGAGAAGGCGGGAGGGCCGGCTTCCGGAGCAATGAAGGGACTTAGGAAGGAACAGTGAACCCACGCCTGTGGGCCCCACTTCACGGCCCCTGTTGTCTTCTGAGAGGAAGGTAGTAGGTTCTAGGGCTTGAAGAGAATGGTGGAATTGTGGAGTATCTCTTGTGGGAAATGGGAGAAAGAGTTGAGAAAGAGCCCATGTAAGGATTTTCAAGAAACCCTGGAAGATTTTGTGCTCGAGAGCAAAGAAGAAAAAAGGTAGATCGTCGTAGGGCTTCAGGGTTAAGGTTTTGTCATGTGGGTGAGGTGGAAGGAACCAAAGGCCAAGGGAGCTGAGGAATCTGCGAGAAAGCAGTTCTGGTGGGGTCTGTGGGGCCAGCGTGTCAGGAAAGACCCAGGCAGGCGGAGTGGGCTAACGGAGGGAGGGCTTAGAGGCTCCGGGTCTCTGAAAGGGCAGATGGCAGCTGTGGTAGCAACAGGTGGTTGTTCCTACCATTCCTGAGAGATAACATGCTTCCCTGGAAATTTCGCTTCACTCTGTTCTTAGGGTGTTTATTTTCTTCTCCTGTTTATTTATTTATTTGAGACAAAGTTTCACTCCTACAGCCCAGGCTGGAGTGCAATGGCGCAATCTTGGCTCCCTGCAACCTCCACCTCCTGGGTTCAAGTGATTCTCCTGCCTCAGCCTCCGGAGTAGCTGGGATTACAGGGATGTGCTGCCATGCCTGGCTAATTTTGTATTTTTAGTAGAAACAGGGTTTCTCCATGTTGGTCAGGCTGGTCTTGAACTCCTGACCTCATCATGATCCACCCGCCTCAGCCTCCCAAAGTGCTGGGATTACAGGCGTGAGCCACCATGCCCAGCTTTTTCTCCTATTTATTATATGAATAAGTAGTAAGAGTGGCTCATATTCGTTGACTGTTCTGTGTTGCAGCCACTGTCCTGAGGGCTTCACCCACATGAACTCATTTAATCCTCACATCCACCCCTCGGTATAGTCGCTAGTACGTTGCCCTCATTTTGCAGGGGTGGCAATCGAGAAGTGACACAACAGTAAGGGGCTAGATCAGCTTTTTCTAGGTTATATTCTGATACCAAAACTCCCACATGTCAGGGGTTGACAAGAATAAAGCTTATTTCTGTTTACGTCTTTTGTCAGCTGGGGTCATCTGGGACTCTGCCCTGTGCGTCTTCTTTGTTCTACTCATGGCCTGGATAAGAGGATGACCACATGTGCTGCTTTGCCCGGGGTAGTCCCAGACTACACCCGTCCCAGTGTAATTATTAATTGGTCTCCTTGTTACTTTTAGAAATGTTCCAGTGTAGATGATTAATGTGTGGTCATCCCATTCAAAAAATAGTGAGTGAAAGTGATGGCGCGGAATCGTCACTTATAGAGGGCTTTCTGACAGATGATTCTAGCAATGGTAACAGTGGAAGGCATTTCTTCCTTCTCCAGTTTCCCAAGATAATTTTTTTCCCAGGATAAGGTAAAATCCAGGTGGAGAACTGATGTGCCTCCTGCTTGGCCGTGCATGTCAGAATCACCAGCCAGAGATGAGAATGAGCCACATGTCCCCAGGACGGGGCGGAGGCGGGGGAGCAAAGGAGTGTGGTGACCCTCAGAGCACCAGCAGACAGGCTGTTTGTGATAGGCAATGCTTTGTGGCTGGGAAGGAGGGTGGCCGAGATAGGAACTAACCTTTGAGGTGGACACATACCCAGGGGCGTATCATTCGGCAGCGGGGGCCAGCACGGACATGCAGCGGTAAAGCACGTGCTAGCGCCTGATGCGTAAACACAGGCACCAACTTGTTTGGAGCATACAAGACAGCCCTGAGTTAAATCCTGTAAGCCGTTAAAGAACTGCAGTCTGGTGAATGAACCCTAATCTCTTGACAGTCAGGGGATGACACCATATTCTCTCTCCAAAGAGACTCGTGCACGGAAGGCGGTAGGGGAAGGGTGCCTCACAACTGCGTACCTCCCCAGGTCCCACCTCAGAGGAGTCTGTCAAACGTTCTGACTGATGTTAAACTTCACATCTTGTCTCAAGGGAATCTTCTCTGTTTAGTATCATAGTGTTGGCTTTACGGGATGCAATTAACTTTTATCTTTAGCACAAATGCGTCTGTTTCTTTTAAAGCCACCAGAAAGCGTAACAGAGGCTTCCCACAGAAATCTCATTTTATCTCCTGAGTTGCAGAATAAATGTACCTTGTTTGCAAAGGGAACACTTTTCTTTACACCCAAACCATAGCAATGTGTATCTTGCCCCTTCAGCTCACCGACCTTGCCTTCAGCATCCGATTTAAATCACCATGGCATTTCTTGACTGGGAGAGTGCTTGGTCTCTTGTGCAGGACGTTTGCTTACCCTCATGCCTCGTGGCCTCTGCAGAGTCTGCCAGCTCCACCGGGCCCCGTGGAAAGCCACCTCTGTGCTCACACTGCTGGTGAAGGTGCATGACTTCAGGCCTGAGGGTCTGGTGGTCTTGCACTCTGGTCCCGGCTTTATGTGTGACTCACTCTGGATCCTTCGTTCACCCCCTGTGCACCTCTGTCTGCAAAACAGCCCAGCTCTAGTCCTTCTCCCACCTGAGAGTCCCCTTTGCAGTCAGCCAGTGTCTAAGTGCCAAACGCCTAAGAGACGCAAAAAAGAGGGTCCACCATAGCAGGCTCGCTGGGCTTATGACTGTGAGCTCAGGGCAGGAGGATTTTCTGTGGGACGGACCGTGTTTAGATCTTTCTCTCCTACCTTCCTGTCTTCCTTCCTTTCCCTTTTCTAAATCCTTCCATATGAGAAAGTTCCCTGCTTATACCGGCAGTTCCTGGAAGATGAGTATCACTATGTTACCGTCCTGGGCCACTTAAATAGACAGAGAGCCTCACGGTCGCATATGCCCGCTGCCGAGCCAGGCGTGTTTCTGAACATGTGGCTGCCAGTCACCTGCTTCAGGAGCCCCTGGAAGGAGGATGTTAGAAATGGAGGGGTGCACCATTCCAGACCCCTAAAACAGAATCTCTGGAGGTAGGGCCCAGGACACTTAATTTTTCACATTCTCGGGAGCCTTATGCATGCTTGTGTGTGAAAACCACTACCTGGGGCTCTGATATCGAATGAAAGTGTGGGATTTGGAGTTAGGCTTTGCCACATACTGATTACATGATTGGCCCAGACATTTAATATTGCTGAGCTTCCCTGGAGGTCAAGGCTGCCGTGAGCCATGATTGCGCCACTGCACTCAGCCTGGGTGACAGAGAGAGACCTTGGCTCAAAAAAATAAAAAAATATTGCTGAGCTTCTGCGTCTTAATTTGTAAAGTGGATAAAACGGTTTTCAGGGCTGGTGTGAAGATTAAATAAAATAATAAAAGTGAAAATGTTTATAAAGCTGTAAGCGATGACAGAAATTATTATTTACAGAAAGCCAGGTGGGCAGAGAGGGAGAGAGAAAAAGAGAGAGGGTGGGGCAGGGATGGAGACC